CTTTGTTCTAAATATTCAAAAAAAAGTCCTATAATTAAAATTAAAATGAAAAACGTTATAATTGTAATAGTATTAATAGTTTTGTAAAAGGTTTTGTAAAAGTTTAATAAAATAATAAGGGGTAAAAGTATTGTGATTTCTACATCAAATACTAAAAAGACTAAACCAATAAGAAAAAATTGTCTTCTCAAAGGGATTCGTCTTATAGATAAAGGGTCAAATCCACATTCAAAAGGTGATTTTTTTTCTCGTGATTGTGATTTTTTAGTCAATATTAGATTAATCACTATTAGGGCTAAAGGAATTATTAATAAGATTATTATTATAATAGTAATTGTGATCATTGTATACCTATATTAGTTTATGGTCTAAATTGTTTAATTGGAAGTTAAATGTAATTTATTTATACTATATAAGTTTGTTAGTATCTTCATCAGTAGATTGAGATAAATAAGAATAGTCATACTACATCAACAAAATGTCAGTATCATGCTCTTGCTTCAAATCCAAAGTGGTGANGAGAAGAAAAGTGGTTTATAATAAGTCGATTTAGGCATACTATAAGAAATAAGGTACCAATGATTACATGTAACCCATGGAATCCAGTAGCTACGAAAAATGTAGATCCGTAGACTGAGTCAGAGATAGTAAAAGGGGATTCTAAATATTCAATAGCTTGTAAACATGTAAAGTAAACCCCAAGCAAGATTGTAATTAATAATCTTGTTTTTCTTTCATTAAAATTTTTATTAAGGATTGANTGGTGTGTTCAAGTAATAGAGATACCTGATGATACAAGAATAATTGTGTTTAACANAGGGATGTCATAAGGATTAAAAGGTTTAATTCCAATAGGAGGTCATAATTGTCCAATATCTATAGATGGAGATAAAGATGAGTGGAAATAAGCTCAAAAAAAAGATACGAAAAATAGTACTTCGGATATAATAAATAAGATTATGCCTAATCGTAATCCATTATAAACTCATAAAGTATGAAATCCTTGATAAGTGGATTCGCGGGCTACATCTCGCCATCATTGGATAGCACAAATTATTGTGCAAGGAAAGGATAGTAGTACTAATATGTTAATTTTATTGAACCATGCTGCTACTGAAATTAAATTATTTATAACTCTTAAGGAAGTTAAGATAGGCCATGGTCTTGGGGTCACTAAATGAAAGGGTTGATTATTTATCATATAATTCTCTGGAGTAAAGTACAGACAGGATTGAAAATACGTAAGCTTGGATGATTGATACTGAGATTTCAAGGATAAATAGTAGGATTTGTCTTATAAGTATAATAGTTAAAATAATTAAAAAGGAGATTTCCTGTCCTGTAGATCCAAGAAGGGTAAGAAGAAGGTGTCCTGCAATTATATTAGCTGTTAATCGAACTGCTAAAGTAAATGGACGAATAATTAATCTGATTGATTCAATAATAACTATAAATGGTATTAATACTGATGGAGTTCCGGAAGGGGTTAGGTGTGCTATTATTTCGTTAAAGTAATTGATTAATCTATATAAGATAATTCTAATCCANAGTCTTAAAGACAGAGATAATCTTAAAGATAGGTGTCTTGAGGCTGTGAAAATATAAGGGAATAATCCTATAAAATTGTTGAATAAAATAAATAGAAATATTGAGTAGAATAAGATGATATTAGAAAATGAATATTGCAGAAGGGTTTTAAATTCTTTAAAGATAAAAGATGTGATTAGATTGATTAACATATAATTTCGTGAGGGAATTAATCAAAATGTTATAGGAATTATAAGTGTAAAAATTATTATTCTTATTCAATTTAATGAAAGTGAGTTTGAAGTAGATGGATCAAATACTCTAAACAGATTTATTATCATAATTGTAATGTAAAATTTATTTATGTTTAATAAGAATAAGATCATTTAATATTAGGTTTTAAAGATTTCTTTATTGATTTTTTAGGGGAGATTATAATGGTGTAATGGATTGATGAAATAACAAAATATAATAGAAGTATGTTTAAGGATAACAAAGGTATTCAATATAAAGGTCCTATTTGCGGGATATAAGAATATTAAAATTAATATTTTTAAACTGACAATTTAATGTTTTTATAAACTAATTCTTACATTAAAAGTAATCGTTATTTTACTATTAGTTGATTTAAAAAATCAAAACTTACGNTTTCAGTCATTTAATGTATTAGTATAAAAATATTATGAGTTAGATAAGATTCATTTTTTAAAATTTTTAATTCTTGTTGATTCAACAACAATAGGTATAAAACTGTGGTTAATTCCACAAATCTCTGAGCATTGGCCGAAGAATAAACCAGGTCGGTTTATTCAGATTATGGATTGATTTAGTCGACCTGGGGTAGAATCTATTTTAATTCCTAAAGAGGGTACAGTTCAAGAGTGAATTACGTCTGTTGATGTGGTTAATATACGAATTGGGTAATTATAAGGAATAATGCATCGATTATCGACGTCTAATAAACGGAATGATGAGGTGTTTTCATTGATTATGAAAGAATCAAATTCTAAATTTTTAATGTCAGAGTATTCATATGATCAGAATCATTGGTGACCTAATGATTTAATTGTTATATTATTTATTAATATTTCNTCAGTTAGGTATAGAATTTTAATAGATGGGATTGCAATAAAGATTAGAGTAATTATAGGAATGATAGTTCATAAGATTTCAATAATATTTCCTTCTAGAAGGAATCGGTTTGTAGAATTGTTTATTCTAAAAGATATTATAATTAGAAAAATTAGTGTTGTAATGAAAATTAAAATTATTATTGTGAAATCATGGAAAAAGATTATTATATCATAGATTGGAGTATTGGAGTTTTGAAGTCCTAAAATTCACGTGTTGATTTTTAATAGAAATTTAAATTTCATATATGGTATTTAACACCATAGCACTTATTCTGCCATATTAAATTAATTAGTTGATGGGATTTC